GGCGTTGTAACGGGCTACGTGGCAATGATTCGTAGCAAGCCTGCACCCATGCTGTCCCGGGAGCCCACTCTTGCGCGAAGTGGCACGGTCTGCGGCAGAGCCTCTCGTCTCGAGCCCCTTCTTGATGCAGCGTGCCATGTAGAGCGTATATACAGTGCCTTGTTGCAAGCGCGTAAAGGCTTGCAAGGTCCACGGGGCTCGTGCTTGCTTATACCACTGGGACCGCCACTTTCACAGTAGAACATCTCGCGGTAGCGCACGCGCGTTCTGCGCCGAGCGCAGTGTGTGCAGCGCGTCTGGTTCCAAGTGTGGTACTCTTCGCCCCTCTCTGGCGAGCTGAAAGAAACGAGTATTACCAGAAAATTGATCCACGTGACCAGATTAGTAGAACATTCCATTATCACTCGGTTTCGAGTCCGACGACGACGACCATTCGCTGCTGTTTTCTCCCTTTTCTTGTACATTTTTGGCGGCGCTTGGTCATTAATTTGGCGGCGCTTGGTTCTCTGGCCACTGCCGCTGTTTGTCGACGCAGCTACTCCATCCTCGCCACAAACTTGTTGCGCCAGCCATTGCAACCCGCGACTGGAAGATACACGTGTATAGGATTGCTTCCAATAAACTAAACTAATTCAACTAACTAAACTATTGCTATCGTCTAAATGGCTTGCTCAAACAAGAGTGTTGACGATACTTTGACGGGACTCGGGACCGACAAGCACGCTTGCGCCTTCGGGCTCGCCAGCGAGTCGCAGAGGAGGCTCAAGATCGAGTGGTCCAGCGTCTCGTCCGTCGTCGATACGACGAATGTCTGGCTCCACGCAATGGTCTCCAACAGCGTCGTGTCCAGGAAGCTCGCGAAGCCGCCATTGGTGTCGGCTTGGGGCTCTTGCTTGATCACGTCGCGCGTCTTGCGCTGCGTGTGCCGGTGGCAAAAACCGCTCGAGCGCGCGTGAAGGTCGCAGCCTTTCTCTCGGCAGGTGCGGCCGCCACCGTGCCGGACGCACTTGTAGCGCGCGTGGGCTTGGCGGCTGCAGCCGGGCTCGGTGCAGAAGCGCTTGACAATGACACCGCCATGGATCACACAGTGCGGGCCGCCGCGTGCAAACTCGTGGCAGCCGGGGATCTGGCACTGCTTCTTGCCGCCGTGGCGGACGCAGAGGTATCGGGCGTACACTTGGTTCATGCAGCCCTCGATCGAGCACTTGATCTTGTTCTTATGGGATGCGCACTTGGTGGCGTTGGGCAGTGCGGGCTTGGTGCACTCGAGAAAGCAGCAGACATTGGTCGGTACCGACATGGTGTTGTGGATGTGGGCTTGTCGTCGCAACTTTGTGAATGAAGAATGATCGGTGCCATCGAGCTATCTGTAGTATGCACTCGGCCTCCCAGATGGGTGACGCCGCGATTACCGTCCTTTGGGGGGCCATGGACATACGCCACGTGGTGCCACCATCATTCATTCGTCCGCTGGACAGCCGATCACAAGTGGACCAATGAGGCGAGGTGAAAAAGTTTGAGCCCCTTCTTGGCCAAGGAATCAAGTTCGTGGACATGCGTCGCCGGTCTTCTTCGGCTGCCAAGTCTAGGATCGCGGCCATGGTTCAGTTGGAGCCAGTGAACCAGATGTGTGTTACCTACGTTCTTCCAGTGTCCACGAATTATGGGCGCCACACTGGCCCCAGCGTGCGGACGCGCTGATGCCACCACGCGGGTGGATGGACAGTAGATATACACACTCGGACGGCGATGTCAAGCCACCGATCGGGCCAGTGCAACCAGCGATTCTGACTTGCGTTCGGAGCTCCGTTTGGTGAGAGATGCCTGCTGGTGCATGGCGATTGGACACAGGTTCCGGCGCGTCACGAGGCGGATCTGTTCGTCTCTGTTCGCTTGCATGCCCCATCCGCAGTGAATTCCTACCACGTGGCAGTGGCACCTCGCGTAATGCGTTGGCGACAGGTTTGAGCTTCCAAACTCTCCAACCGCGAAGGGCCCGCGTCGGCATCGGCTCCGGGAACCAAGAATCTTCGTGCTGCTTACAGTGACCCAGTCTTGTCGGCCGCGCTTGTGCTGTCACGTAAAGTAGCCAGTGTAGAGTGGACGGATCGAATCCTGGCCAACGCCCGCCGCTCTGGCGTATATCGCTCAACAACTCCTTCCGAGTGACCCGCTTGCATCGGAAGCGCGGGTCCCATCCACTGCCGTTGATACTGTAGCTGTCGTTGATGAGCGTACGAGCCTCGTTACGCATGCAGCGTTGCCTGGACGATGCAGGTAGCACCACTTGCAGTCAGATGGCTGTGGCCACATCGTGTGATCACGAACATTTCTCGCGGTTTGTATGCGGATACAAACCGCAAGTATATTCATCACAACCTGACTCAACCGATTACTACAGTTCGTTGTGTAGCCGACGTCGGTTCATACAAAGTGGCTGTCGCTGCGACGTTGCACTTGAACTCGACCAGATCAATCGCTCCCACTCGTTGCTTGTCGGTCCAACCCGCTCCACGGAGTCCTCGGCAGGAGACTTTTAAGTACAAAGAAAGGACGCCCCTGGCAGCCTCTAAGGAGTGACCCTCGTTCTAACGTTGAAGTAAATGGAATCGGAAGATCCACTGGACGGATCCTGTACGGGATTGGACGTGGGCAACTGCCGGTGCAGCAGTGAGTTGGGTCTTTGTGAACGCGGCGCGTTGGAAGGACGTACCGGAGTGGCGTGTGGTTCCGGAGCCAGTCGTTGAGGAGGCAAGGGCATCACTGTTCGCATGTCCTTGATCATGTGAAGGTCAGCAGCAAGGTGCCACAAAGTCAAACTGCTCACGACAGGCGCCTCAGGGCGAAAGCCTCAACCGGTGCGGGCGAGCCAGATGATGTGAGCTGGCGGTGTGGAGCACGCAGGCGCGTTAGAATCGGCCACATCATGGCACCGCCTCATGGGCGATACCGTTGGATCATCACGGTCAACTTCAAAAGAGAACGCACGTAGCGTCGTTGGGAAGCTCCGGCATCAACGAGCGGTCGTCGACGACCCAAACTCATGCAGCGAAGGTGGCTTCAGTAAGCCTCGAGATCGCCACAAACGGCGCAGGCTTGGGCGTTGTCAGCCGGAAAGTAGGACTGGGTACCGACTGCGACGGCCCATGCACAAGGCATGTAGATCGCGCGGTGGCATGCATCGGGCAGTGTACTGGAGAAGCTGTCGGTACTCGTGGAAAGCATACACTTGGGTTTCCAGCGTCGCACGAGAGCAGAGTCATGTGAGCCAGAGCAACACGTTGTATTAGTCATACGTATCGCTTCTGGTTGGCTGCTTCTATGCGATTCCTTCATGCTTGCTGGTCGCGGGGCTGGTACATGGGCTGACGACCGCCGTTGTTCTGGTTGCGTCCCCGGCCGTTGCCGCCGGTGCTGCCGTTGCCGCCGGTGCCGCCGTTGTTGCGGTTCCGGTTCCGGTTACTGTTGCCGTTACCATCGCGATTGCCATCGCGGTTGCCACTGCCGTTGCTGTTGCCGTTGCTGGTGCCGTAGTTGCGCGGGTCGGTGGGGTAGCCGTTGCCTCCGTTGCGGTTCCGGTTGCCCCCGCCGTTGCCGTTGCCGTTGCCGTTGCCGTTGTTGCGGTTGCCACGGTAGCCGCGGCGGTTGTTGAGGCCGACGGCACCAAACGTCTCCGTGTTGAGCTTGCGCTCTTCGTGGGCGCGGAGGCGGCCGTTGACGCCTTCCAGTCGGTCGAGTGCGTCGCACGAGATCGTGTCAAAGAACGACGACTTTTGGTACGAGCCCTATTGCATGGTCTTAGCGGGTCATCGCCGTGGTATCGATATCAAGTACCTTGATGACGGGGCGCACAGCCTCCGCGTTCGTCATGCTCATCTTGCTGTACTCGTCTTCCTTGTTGAAATCCGTGAGGCCGACGGCAAAGTCAAACTCGGCCGCAATCTCGCTGTCCGTCATGCCCGTGTCGGCGCCAACGCGACGCTCCTTGCGCTTCAAGAGATGGCCGCCCATACCAGGGATCGTACGGTTGCCACCGTTCTGAGCACCTTGGTCCTGACGTTCGGGCTGTCGCGGGGAGGGCGCGTGCTGCTGTTGGTGCTGCTTCTGCTGCTGTTGCTGGACCTGTTGGGCCGCAACCGAGTAAGCCGTCGACATGGCACCCGGGGTGAGGAGGGTCGAGGAGATGGTCGGAGCTGCATAAGCGTTCGTTGGCGACGTCGGGCGAGCAGCCGTGGGCTGCGCGACTTCGGGCTGTCGCGGAAGGGGCGGCGGCGGCTGGTAGTGCATGGCAGGGGCCGGCGGCATGGCGTGGGGCGGCATCATAGGCGGCGGCGGCGGCGCTGCTGCTTCGCATACATGGAGATCCTTGATCTCGGACGCCTTGAATGTAGCGTACTGCAGGACCGTGTCCGACGGCGGGATGTGGTCGGGCCGGCGCCCTTCCGTGCCGAAGGAGCGCACGTTCTGGAGCGCGACCATGCTCTGGCGCGTGTCAATGTTGAAGAGGAGGCCTTCATAGCGGATATCTGTCTTGGAGATCAAGCTAATGCGGGACCCAATGTACGGGATCCCTTCCGACTTGGACTCTGCCATCGTGCCGCAAACTCGAAATGCGACGCCAGCCTTTAACCTCACGCTGCAAACCTCTCGCATTTTATACCAAGATCCGTGGTGGCTTGGGACAACAATGGCTAGTCGCACGCAATTTTGACAGTTGACCCTCCTTCCTGCATCATGGCCCTTCTCTTGCGCATCCTGGTCGGGACGCATCACCTCGATATCGTCGTCGTATTGTCTGGTGTTGCTACCGCAGTGCCCGTTCGATTGCATCTACACGAGGATACCTGCTCACAGTTCGCGATCGGCAGCCAACTTGTGGCAGCCAAAGTTGTGAAAGTTGCTGGCAGCCCGAGTGGTGACAGGAACAAGATCGGGCTGCGAGAGTCTCAAGATGAGCACGAGTAGAGAATACTCTTTGATTGGAGCGGAGTGTGTTGTCGATATCTGCTTGGCACACATAGTCTTCGATGACGTTAGCGCCGACAGCAGCAGGTGGCAACTCGTGTCGCGAGAGGGGCGTGTTGTCGACGCGTGCAACATCAAACGTAATGCGGTCGGAGAGGCAGCGCCCCATAAGGCGTCTTGTGCGATGGACCAGAGAGCTCGTTATCAACGGTTCAAGAGAGCTCGCCGTAAACGGCCCACCAAGTCAAGGGGTGGAGCACGACGGCGTTGCCTCCTTGCCGTCACGAAGCTGGCTACCACGAGTGCCAGCCAGGGAAGGGAAATAAAACTGGCAGAGTGTGGGGTACGCTCGGTGCGTGCACATGCTCCATAGAGCGCTCCAAAGTTGCGTGCATCTAACTTGCGGCGCCTGTATGACCAGTATGGAGTTCTCACGGTCCAAAGACATGGCGCACTTGAAGTTGGTCCAAGTCGACGGCGCAAAAGAAGCGGTGTTCGTTCTGCCTCGTACGTCGTGCATTTCGCCACGTCCTCCTTATCCCTGCAGGCTGTCGTGACTGCGGCTGCATCAGGACATGCACTTGGTTGGGCTGCGGGTTGCCGTGGCATTGGCAGGCAAGGGCCGACGCTATTTAGGGAATGCCAGCCAAAGGGTGCAAGAGCTGTAAATTATCGCGGTTGCATTGCAGTGCATCGGCAGCAGCGAGGCGACATGACCATCACATGCGCGAGAGCTTGAGCTGGAGCGTCGCACGCTGGTCGACGACAGTGAGGCAGGCGATGAGCCGCGCGATCTCCATGATGATTAGAACCGAGTATGACAGCAGCGCGTCGTGGCGGAGGTGCAGGTCGAGCATGGCGGAGGCTACAGTACTTGGTGGTTGGCCGGTTGGTGCGCCCACAAAACATGAGCTGCCAGCGGTATCTTTGTCACCTTTGAGACTCGATATACTGCGATACCATATCAGGCAAGGTATCAAGTCCCAGAGACTTCAAGCCCACAACTTGGCAGTCTGTGCCGAATTTAACGGCCGATCTGCACAACATGTCGTTGCATGCCCGCTGTGGCTTTCAAGCTCCATCAACAGAGACACCATGCATGTACAAGACCCTAGATTAGAAGCCTCGCAGGAGGAACTGCAACGCAGTGGTCGCTTCGAGGCAGTACGCTGAATGGTGCTGGCGGGTCCTATTTAATTGTGGCATCTGCCGAATCGTAACACTCCATTCACAGCGCGATGAACACGTTTGGGAAGAAGGACCTCGGGCTCTTGCTGCCCGACGATGAGCCCGGCGATGTCATCTCGCTCAAGCACACGCGTATGAACGAGGTCACCGACACGTACGAGGCGCCCAAGCCCAAGCTCGACACCTCCAAGAAGGTCCTGCGTCATCGGGCTGGCCATGTGCCCGAGCACGCGCTGGGCGAGCTCATGGAAGACGAAGGCCGGGCTGGTGACTTTCTCCGCAGAAGCGGGCCCGCGCGACCAGCACCCAAGGCACTGCAGATCGCCAAGCCCGAACGTAGGAAGATCGCAGCGACGGTCGTCAAGGCGGTGGCGCCCGCGCCCCGAGCGGCGCCGTCCAGCACTTTCCAGAAAGCCGCGCCGCTGCTCGACTCGGACTCGGACGAAAGCGACGCCGAAGACGACCGGCGCGCACGGCTGCGTGCCAAGGCCCTCGCACAGCAAAAGGCGGCGCCCGAGGCCAATGCGATGGCGTTGCCACTACCCACGGCGCCGCGCCGCGACGTTGCGCTCGACGCCCACGACACGGCGTCCGAGCACGAGTCGTCATCCGAGTGGGAGACAGACACGGACACGTCCGAGGACGAGCAGATGCTCAAGCCCGTCTTCGTGCCCAAGGCTGCGCGCGACACGATCCGCGCCCAAGAAGAAAAGCTCGCGCTGCAAGAGAAGAAGGATGAAGAAAAAGCTGCCAAGGTACACACACCTCTCCACCTGCAAGCATACAAAGCATTGTGCGTAGATGGTCGAGCGCAAGTCCGAGTCACGGAAGCTCGTGGCCGAAGTCCTCCAGCGCGAGCAGGAGCTCACGACCGACGAGACCACCGACATTGACGACATGCCGGACGACACGGACAACGTCGACCCGGAGAAGGAGCGACAGAAGTGGGAGCTTCGCGAGATGCGCCGGCTCAAGCGCGACAAGGACGAACGAGAAGAGCGCGAGCGAGAGATTGCAGAGACGCTGCGCCGGCGCAATCTCACGGACGAAGAGCGCGAGGCCGAAGACCGGTGCGTTCTCTGGCTACAGCAGCAATCCGACAATTTGTCGATAGCGCGTCCGGCAAGCTCAAGGACGACGAAGAGAAGGCCAAGTGGAAGTTCATGCAGAAGTACTACCATAAGGGCGCGTTCTATATGGACGACAAGAGCTTGGCGCGCGACCCGGCGGACGTGCGAAAGCGCGAAGCCGACGCGCCGACGCTCGAAGATCGTCACAACTACGAGGTCATGCCCAAGGTGCTGCAAGTCAAGAACTTTGGCAAGGCCGGCCGGTACAGTACTTCGGTCGTACTCGTTTGTTGACATACGATGTGGCTAGCACCAAGTACACGCACTTGGTCGACCAAGATACGACCGACTATTTGAACCCGCTCAAGCGCACCGACCAGTACGCGATTGATCTCTTATTGCATCGATCTTATTGCTGCTTATAGGATGAACGACAAGTACACGACCAAGATGGCGGGCATGCGCGCGATCTCGCGACCGACCAAGAAGGCCAAGCACGACGCCTAAGACGCTGTGAATATACCTGCTATCGCGCTTTCTCTTGCAGCGTGTTACTCTGGCGCCAGGCTCGCGCGGGACAGCATCTCCTTGCCGATCAAGAGCCGCTGGATCTGCGACGTGCCTTCGTAGATTTGGTAGATTTTGGCATCGCGCATGAGCTTCTCGACCGGGTACTCGGTGTTGAAGCCGGCGCCACCAAAGATCTGGATCGCGTCCAACGTGGCTTGGTAGACCATGTCGCCAGCAAAGCGCTTGGCCATCGACGCATACATGGTGTTCTTCCGGCCGCAGTCGACCTCGTACGCTGCCTTGTACGTGAGCAGACGCGCAGCTTCAATGTTGGTCGCCATGTCGGCCAGCATGAACATGATGCTCTGGTGCATCGCGATCGGCTGGCCCATCGTCTTGCGTTCGAGCGCATACTTCTTGGCCTCTTCCATCGCACGGCGGGCAAGACCGACAGCGCCAATGGCGACCGGCGGTCGCGTCCGGTCAAAAGCCTGCATGGCGATCTTGAAGCCGTACCCGGGCGCCCCGAGGACGTTCTCGCTCGGGACGACGACGTTTTCAAAGTGAATGCTGCGCGTGTCCGAGCAGCGCTGGCCCATGTTGATCTCCTTCTTACCACGCGTGATGCCAACCGAGTCGCCGTCGACGATGAAGCCTGTAAACGCCGAGCCAGACGACGCCGTCGGGTCCGTCTTGGCGAGGACAAAGAACCAGTCGGCATATCCCCCGTTCGTGATCCACATCTTGGAGCCATTGAGGACATAGTCGTTGCCGACCTTGACGGCCGACGTGGTGGTCGCCGCGACGTCCGAGCCCGCGCCGGCCTCGGTGACGCAGTACGACGCCGGGCGAGGAGCTTCCACGAGTCGTCCGAGGTATTTGGCGCACTGCGTCTCGGTGCCCGCGAGAAGCAGGGGCGCCGCCGCCACGTTGTTGACCTCGATGGCCGCCGTCATGCCCGAGCAGCCGTACGAAAGCTCTTCGCCAATGACGACGCCGTCGAGCGCGCCGAGGCCGAGGCCGCCATACTTCTCCGGCACGTGCACGTTGAGGAGGCCGAGTTCGTGGGCCTTGGCAAAGATCGCGTGCGGAAACGCCATCGTGCGGTCGAGCTCGGCGGCGACCGGGATCATCTCGTCGGCGGCAAACTTGCGTGCGAGGAGCTGCACCTCGCGCTGCGTGTCGTTGAGCTTGAAGCTGAGGCCCTGGAAGGCCGCGTCGTCGACCTTGGTGTAGCCCGTCAAGCGAGCGACGCCGACCGGCCGGAGCGTGCGGACCGGGCGAAACAGCACCATCAAGCTTTTGTATTTTGCACGGGATGATCGGCTAGAGCCTAGAGCCTGCAGCGCATTGTTGGCGGCTATTCCTCGGGCGGCGACGACATCGGCGGCCATGCGGGTCTATGGCAGCACGCGTGACAATGCGGCGAGCCCGTGTATGCAGCGCCTTCCGCAAGATACGCGCGCGCAGAGGAGTAGTTGGCGCCTGTAGCTTGGGCGGTCATGAACGTGCCCACTGTTGCGTCAACATGCTGGCGATCTTCCCGCAGCTCTTGCCGCAGATCGCCAGCAATTTGACATGGCACCTACTCGTAGCAGGGTGCGCTTAGAGGGGCTGGGCTTGAGGACATGGAGGCAACAAGGCGGTAAGTCTACGCCTCAGACATGGGCTAAAACGAGCGCCTAGACAGAGAACGCAAGACGGGAGAGGAAGAGGAATATTTATATTGGTTCAAAATAAGGAGGAGGGTCTAGTCGCGGTCGGATGGTCGCAGAGGAGTCGCCGTTCTCAAGCCAAGCTGGTATTATCAAATTAAGCGGCGCCGCAAGCGAGCTCGGACTCGTGGGATGCCTATGTACTCATGTAGGTCGAGATGTCGATCTGGTCCGGCAGCTCGGGGATGTTGACTTCGAAGCGCGACTGGACCTTGGCCAGCATGTCCGAGTCCTCGTTCGACGAGATGAACGAGATCGAGAGACCCTTCGTGCCGAAGCGGCCGGCGCGACCGACACGGTGCAAGTACTGGTCGCTGTCGTTCGGGAAATCGTAGTTGATGACGATGTTGACGCGCTCGATATCCATACCACGGCCAAACAAGTCGGTCGTGACGAGAATACGCTTTTGGAACTCCTTGAAGCTCTTGTAGCGCTTGATGCGCTCGTCCTGGGCCAGGTCCGACGTGATGCAGATGGCCGGGAAGTTGCACTCGTTGAGGAGGCGGTTGAGCTCGCGGGCACGGTTCTTCTTTGAGACGAAGATGACAACCTGGTTGAACTCGAGGGCATCGAGCAAGTCGTTCAGCTTGCGGTTCTTCTCCGCTTCCTGGAGCTTGATGAAGTACTGCTGCAGACCGTGGAGCGTGAGCTTGGTCTCGTCATCGACGTAAATCTCCATGGGCTAATCACACAAACCTCATCATGAGCACTCTGTCCCTGCCAAGGCGAAGGCAACGTACGTCTTGGCAGAACTTTCGGCACACAGGGCGCACTTCCTTGCTCAGCGTGGCCGAGAAGAGCATGACCTGCTTGTCGTGGGGCGTCGCCTTGAAGATATCCTGGACATCGCGGCGCATGTCTAGCGATGAGAATTTGAGCTAACCGGTTCAAGAGAACGGGTTGTGCGTACCAACAGAGTCGAGGAGCTTGTCGCACTCATCCATGACGAAGTGCTTGACCTTGTCGAGCTTCAAGGTCTTTTCCTTGAGCAGGCCAAGGACGCGGCCCGGCGTGCCGACAAGGATGTGAGGGGGCGTGTTCTTGAGCGTCTCGCGGTTCTGGACGATCGGGACACCGCCGTAAAAGACGGCCGTCTTGACATCCGGCAAGTACTTGCTGAAGCGCTCGTACTCGTGGGCAATCTGAAAGGCGAGTTCGCGCGTGTGGCAGAGCACAATGACGCTGATCTGTTCGGCGACGGGCTCGAGCTGCAAGGCGAGATTAGGTCCCGCGCAGCGACGACGTGCGAGTACGCACCTGGTGCAGCGTCGCGAGCACAAAGACGGCGGTCTTGCCCATACCCGACTTGGCCTGGCAAATGATGTCCATGCCAAGCACGGCCTGGGGAATGCACTCGTGCTGCACTTCCGACGGGTGCTCAAAGCCACAGTCCACGACCGCGCGCAAGCACTCGGGCTTGAGGAGGAAGTCTTTGAAGCCGGCGCTGTGGATACCGACGTAGTGGCCCCTTGGAGGTGATTAGCTTCCGGCGATCGCATGCATGGGCGTCTTACTTCTTGGTCTCCGTGGGGGCGGCCTTCTCGGCCGTCGTCGTGACCTCGTCGTCCTCGCCGTAGTCGAGGAGCTCGTCGTCCTGGTACTTCTTGTCGTCGGCCATGTTGCTGCTGCTTGCGTTCGTCCCTGCAAATTCGCCACTGGGCCCGACAGAACCACACAAAAATAGAATTTCGAATTTCGAACGCACGTGGGTAGGGTTGGAGTTTATCCGGAGGACGTGGTAGCCAACGCAAGCCAACGGGCCCGTATCCGGCGCATCGGTCGCGACCTCGCAGATTTAATCGAAGTCCGCTTCAAGCCTCTCAAACTCGATTCCTTCGACCGCCACCACATGTCCCAGATTCCAGCGGCCACGTCAGGATCTTGAGCCTCGTCGGCCCATGGAAGCCCGTGGACGTCACCGACGCCAAGGACCATGCAGCACGAAGGCGTGATGGGGATGCAACCCGTGCACGGCGCAACGCAAGCCCTGCTGCGGTAGACGGCGAAGAGGCCGACGGCGTGCGTCTCCATGTCGCCCACATGTCAACGTAGCAACAAGACGACAATCAGCCAGCCAAGGCCGCGCCCCATGGCCGTCGCGAGGTCGAGTAGCTACAACCTTGCAACGGACGCGTCTTGATGCTGGAAGGGACTCGGGCTTTCACGGTACTTTCACTTCCCTTGGCGATCGTCGAGGGTGCGCTAGCCATCGTTAGCCCATCGCAGCAGCGCGCCATGCGTCTTGGCCTGTCGTACCAAGTTGATTTGCATGTAATACCGGTACCTCGAGCGATTGATCCGAGGAAGCGTAGCTGCTGCCGGAAGATTCCGTCGATGAAAGCGAGGGAAAATTCGAATGCTCGATCACGCTCTGTGATTGGCTGTATATTTCGAATCCTGGATGGGGATTCGCTCGTGTTTCGATTTTCAACCAATCCGTGATTCGGCGTGTACATACGGGATGCAGACCACCGCGCACCTCCAGCACCATGGCGGCAGCGCGACCGCCGGCGAGCAGGTCGAGTACCTCCTCCAAGGCCTCGAAGAAGGTGGCTCCGACGCGAGCCGCGCCATGAGCGCGTACACGCTCGCCACCATGTGCTCGAGCCATTTCGCGCCCGGGCCGGCGGTCAACGGGGCGATGACCGGCCGCTTCCTCCTCCGAGCTCAAGGTGGCCTCACTGACTGCATTTGCCTCGTCGAGACCCTCGCGCCCGAGAGTCGCGACCATGCGCTCGTCTATTGCATGATGGGCTTTCTCTACTTTGTGACACTGGACCGCGAAAACGCCGACGCGGTGACAACGGATGCGCTGCGCACCGTCCTCCATGTCTTGCAGCTCGACGACGCCAAGCACTGGACGCTTCTAGCCGATGTGACGCCGTCGCCTACCGCCGCCACCACACCGCGTGCCCGCATGTTGGTCAAGAAGAAGAAGACGGCAACGACGAAGCGAACATCGACCACGCCCTCTGACGACATGCAAGCGCTGCTGCGCCTCGAGCCCTCGTTTCGCGCATCACCAAACCTCTCGCTGTACGACATCGTGCTTGGTATTCTGTACAATACGCTGCTTGACAAGGCCGCGGGCCATTTCGGCGCCGCCGCCCCCACGGCCTCGTCTCGCATCATCGAGAGTCGAAAGCAGCTGCTTCGGGAAGCGCATGGTCTCGACATTATCGCTCGCCGCAACCTGTCGAGCATCAGTCTCCGTGTGCTCGACCAAGCGTCCTACCTCGACCCGCTCAACCAAGCCCATCTCGTGGCGCACACGACCGTTCTGCCCGCGCTCTTCACGGACCTTCTCGCCGCGAGCCCGACGACCGAGAATGCCGAGGTGTACCTCTATGCGCTGCGTGTGGTCATCAACCTGACGCACAAGAACGATGACGCATGCGCCATCATTGCCAACCTGCACGGTGCACGCACCTTGGCAAGAACGTTCTGCAGCGTCGCACCACGTTCCGACTTTGACCAAGTGCTTCTGCTTGTCAGTGCGCTCGTCAACTGCGTCGAGCTGGACGCGCGCAACCGCGCTGACGTCTGGAGCTATCCAATGCATCTGGTCGACCACTGTATGGCCTTTTTGACGCAGCACGGCACCGAGTCGGCCGAGGATGTGGTCCTGCGCGGGTCCATGGCACTCCTTCTCGGCTGCCTCGTGCGGGATCGGCCGACTGACGCCAAGGCAGTGCGCGACGCACTCCCAAACCAGTCGTTTACGCTGCTTCTCGCCTCGCTCCTCGCGTTCGCCAAGCTCCACGCGCACATTGGCGCGCTCACGCCCGAGATCCTCGCGACGTGTGTCCAAGTCGAGACAGAACTCAAGCGCGTCGAGGGCGACGAGACGGCGACATCGGCGATTCAAGCTGCCGTGGCCGGACCCGACGCCGACGTCGCGGCCATTTACGCCAAGATCGCCGCCGCGTCACCGCCACCGTGCGCGTCACCGCCACAGCGACCACCGCGTCCGTCGCCAGCGTGTCAGTTGACGCCGCCCGCCGATGCCTTTCGGCTCCAAGTGCACCGTCTGCAAGTGGACGACGAGTCGGACGACGACGACCTGTCGACCAGAACCAACAAGCGCCGGCGAACGCCAAAGGTACCAGCCAATGGAGCGCGCCGCCCGACGCCATCGCCTACGTCGGCTATGTTATTGGACACGCAAAGCGACACTGGGGACTTCACCGTCACCGAGTTGGGGTCGCGACGCAAGCGGCAACCAGTGAGCAAGCGCCGGTCCAGAACACCAACAACGACCGTCAGGACGCCGATCGCGTCGTCTGACAGCAGCAAAAAGCAGCGCACGAGCAGCGTGCTCGAACGCAAGGCGCGACCGAAGAAAGCACAGCCGCAGTGTCTTCTCACCGTATTTGATTTTGACGAGTAGTAACAAGGGACATAGGTAGTCCGTAGTACACGTCGCTAGTCCTCGTCAAACCCGTCCTCGCCATAGCCATAGGCGTCGTCTGGGGCGTCTTCGTCGCTGCTGTACGCATCGCCGGCACTGTTGGTCAGCATCGCTTGGAGCTCGCCTTTTGTGAGAATGCCGTCGTTATCAATGTCGAACTCGTCGAGCAGCAGCGCGGCCTCGGCGCGCTGGAGCCGAAGTCCATATAGGTTCAGGCCCGCGTGCAGCTCGTCGATACCGACCGCACCGTTGCCGTCGGCGTCCAAGGCAGCGACTAACGCCTCCAGCGAGAGTGCTTGAAGCGATGCATTGCTCTCGACAAGCGCCAAGAGCACTTCAATGTCCCGGACCGGGTGGACCCACGAGAGCATCTCGGCCGTCGATATCGCGCCGCTCTTATCCTTGTCGAGCCGCTGCAGCACGAGATCCAAATCATGGTCGTGGAGCTTGACGAGCTTCTTGAGCGCCTTCCTGACCTCCGCGACGCGCACTTGGCCGCGCGCCGTAGGGTCCAACGCTTCAAACCACGCTTGGAGCGCTGGCACGTCCAAGTGCAGAAGCGCGGCGCGGCACTGCTCGGCGAGGACGCCGACTTCTTCGGTCTCGGTCGCTTCGCTGCAAAACGCGACGAGCTCGCTCTTGGAGACGACGCCGTTGCCACCGACGTCCATGCACCGCACCGCGGCGTCAATGGCCGAGAGAGGCAGCGGCGTATGCTCTCTCAAGAACGCGTGGATCTCACGCGCGTTGAGCTGCTTGCTGCCGTTGGCGTCCATCGCCTCAAAGAGGCTCTTGACGTTGCCGTCGTGGTGCGCTCGCGCGACCGATACGAGCGCATCGCGGACCTGCTTGACGACAAGGCTCGACATGCTCAGGCGCGGTTGTGTCGCTTCCACGACCACTTTCGGGCCCGTCCGAAGCTTGAGCCAGCGCAGGAGTTCGTCGAGCGATATCGTATGGTCGCCGTCCTAGGACACCTCAATACGCGGCTGACTGCGCGTACGTACGTTATCGAGCCGCATGACGAGGCGCGAGAGCTGCGGAGGCGAGAACCCGAGATGCAGCTGCTGGAGCGTGTGGCAAAAGGCCGCCACGGGTGCGGCGTCCGTGGCGCGCTTGTACAGCGGGTAAAACACAGCTTGCACTGCGGCTTCGAGACCGCCGGCGTCCTTGCGGGCGGCTTTGATCCGCTGTAGAATTGCATCGCGGAGCCGATACCCGAGCACACCGAGCTCCTCGGACGTTGGCGACGTGAACGCAAACGAGACGAACTCGGCAATGCTAATGGAGCCGCTGCCATCCACGTCCAAGCACGCGTCCACGATCGCCCACACGTCGTCCTCAAAGTGCAAGTGCAGTGCCGACTGCAAGCCGTCGCGGAAGCTGGCGAGAGGCAGGTCGCCGCCCGCCTCGGTGTCGAGCGACTCGAAGACCGATGCGAGCGCGGCCTTCATCGCCTCGAACGAAAGCGAAGTGCCATGTCCAAGGCGAGCGGTCGCGGCCTCGAGAATGCGTGCACGGAGGGCGTGGATGACACTGCTGAGGTGCTCGATCGAGTCCATGTCGCCTGTGGGTGTAGTTGACGTCGTCTGCAATGGTGCCTGCTCTTCCTGCAATGACGGCGGGACGGCAAGCGGCTCGACAACCGGTGGGGGTGGCGGCTCGATATCTTGGAGCTCGAACGCAGTGTTGAACTGCGGCCGAGTAAACCCAAGATGAGACGAGCTGAATTGGTTCTTGGCATGGATCTGCTGGATCAACCTACACATCGCCATGGGCGCTGGCACGCGTGGGTGAACGCACCGGCGTATCACGGGGCGGGGCACGTCAAAGCCGAGCCGCGCGAGCTGCTGCCGAAACGACGCCCGGTCCACGCTGCCGCATCGCTTTCGATCAAAGAAGCCAAAGACGTCCGTCCCGTTGGCAATGGCGGTAGCAAAGGCATGCTGGAGGTCGTTCCACAAGAGCAGCACCGGCTCAAGCGCCTTGATGTCGGCTTGGCGCTGCGCCTCTACACGCGCAGCTTGCTCCCGCTGGACGTGTTCGTACTGCAGGTGCATTTGGGTCGCTTCGATCGCTCGACGTTGACGCAGTAGAAGGACAGCACGTGCTGCATGACGCTGCCGAACTCTGGCTTGAATGCACTGCGCGGCAAGGAATTGGTGGCGGTCGCGCCGGTATCGAGTTATGAAAGCGAGGTGTCGGCACCACGCTTGGAGTCGGCACGCTGCAATGTGCACGGCCGCGCTGTCCTGAAGCGCAAGGGCGTCGCGCCACTCGCGCTGCTTGGCCTGTTCGGCCATTGTCTGCAAGAGGCGACGCTTCTCGGCTTCGATGCGCTCGGCCCGCGTCGCCTCTTTGGCGAGCCGCAGCTTCTCCATGCGTTCTTCGTACGTCGTGAGCATCGCCGTGGCCTTGAGCGACTCGTGGTCGGTCGACTTTTCGACCGACGGCGGTGACGGTATCGTCTCAGCAGTGGGCAAAGACACTGCGATCGACGGAGCGATTGTTGTCGCTGTAGGTGGGGCTGGCGTTGTGGTTGGTGGCGGTAACTTGGCGGCCACGACATCGTACGCTGTGAGAAGCACGTCGCAGTCGGCGACTTGCTTACGTAGCTTGTGAAGAAGGTGCTTCTACATCACACGGGACTCGTACAGGCGCAAGCTACACTAGCTCTTACTTTGGCCTGGTGCTGGTCACGGAGGTCGGCTTGTCGCTGGACGAGGTCGGTCAGAGCGCCTTCGTACTGCGCTTGGCGCTGTGTGAGCAAATCGACGCAACTTTGTAGATACTGGGCCGCAAACTGGCACATTTGGAAGGCTTTTTCATGGTCCTTGTCGATATCGATGTCTAGCGCACGGTCAACAAGCGAGAGGAGTGTGTTTGTACCCAAGGTGGCGAGCGTGTTGCCGTACAGGACGGTGCTCTGGAGCGCAAGCAGTGGGTCGGTCGTGCCCTAGGTTTGCTTGCGTCCAGCGCAAAGAGCGATCGCGTACGTACGAGGAAGAAGATTTCTTGCACGTTGGTGCTGACAACCTCGGCCCAGTTGATGTCCAAGTGGGGCACACGGAAGCGGAACGCTGGGTCCACAACGCTCGGCGCCGGCCCGACCGGCTTTGTCCGGCGCAGAGTGCTCGCCTGTATGTACGAGACGACCACCTCCAAGCTCATGCCCGTCGTCGGCACGCCTTCGTAGCGAGCAGCATGGACCATGACCCATACCGGTCCCACTTCTGAAAGCCAAAATGGGTGAGGTGGGCATACGAGACAGCATGGCGATACCTGGCGTCGGCGGTGACTTGGTGAGCGCCACCTCGACGCAGCCGAGGAAGAGGTCGTGGTCGCGGTGCGCGTGCCACAGCTCGATCGTGACGCACGGGCTCGTCGTTGGCACAACTGCGGTGGCGTCGGTCCAGATGGCCATGCCCTGTTGGCGGACAGTCGCTGGCGGGCTCTTGGTCAAGACGCGCTTCGCGGTTGTGTGCTCGTAGACAAAGTGCAATAGGACGTGGCGGCAGTACGGCGGGAGGCCCGTCGCGGCGCGGACGCTGACGCAGGCGCTATGGTACCATGACGCATCTGCCATCGCAATCCTTCGAGAGATCTTATTCCGGACGAGTGCGATTGGTTTGCCCCACTGTCCATCAAGGTTTCTCCCAGAAGCAAACCATCAACACGTTTCACCCATTCGGGAGATTCGCGCCACGACCTGCGACGTCGTTCATGCGCGGGCCGCCAGAGGTAGGAAAGGTCGCACCGCTGGTTTTGTTGCCTAGAGCCTACGGTGTGTCTTGCGTTCTCAAGCTGCAATCTAACCTCACACAATCGGTCGTCCGGAAAGCTCAAGCAACCACTTCGCCACAGGCAAAGCCTTTGCAGCAAAGGAAACGGTAGATAAATGTCTTGCAGTATCAACGCTTCCATTGTTGCTGCAGCTTTCAATTCCCGACGCAAGGGACTGATGTTCCCCGTAAGCGAGCGAGCGACTTCCCCGGCCTTCGTTCCTCGCGAAACGCCAAGCCGGTCAATGGGACAAAGGCGGGTAAAACGGGACAAACCTGTTTGCCCCACGCACTTACCGCACGCACCTTGAAGTTGCTTGGATTGCATGATGCATCAACACGGGCCGTGGCCAAGCATAAAATACGCGTTGAATTCGTATTTTTATGCAAAATAGCTAATTCTACATAGAAACACCAAGTACAAATAAAAGCTGATGCATAAAAAGGCAACCGGGTACAATAAAAATCCACCGGGTTTCGTCAACTTGAGGGATCTAACTCTGGGGTCCACACTTTGCAATTTCCCCATGCTGGCCCGCAACGCTACCGTCGCTGCCAAGAAGGCGCTCTTCGCCCGCGGCTTCGCCGCCCATGCGTCCATCGACGAGTCGCAGCTCAATGGCATTAGCTTCAAGCTCACGGATACGCAGAAGGAGTTCCAGCTCCTTGCGCGCAAGTTTGCCCGCGAAGAGATGATCCCGAAGGAGAAGCACTACGACCAGACGATGGAGTACCCCAAGGAAATCTTCGACAAGGCGTGGGAACTTGGCTTGGTCAACGGCCACATTCCGGAAAAGTACGGCGGCATGGGCCTCGGCTCGCTCGACGGCTGCATCATCGGCGAAGAGCTCGCGTACGGCTGCACGGGCATGATGACGGCGATTGAGGCCAACCACTTGGCCCTGGCGCCCGTGCTCGTCGCGGGTAACGACGCCCAGTGCGCCAAGTACTTTGGCCGCCTCACGGAGGCTCCGCGCCAGGCCGCGTACTGCGTGACGGAACCGGGTGCCGGCTCGGACGTTGCCGCCGCCAAGACAACGGCCGTCAAGAAGGGCAACAGCTGGGTCATCAACGGCTCCAAGATGTGGATCACGAACGGCGGTGTCGCCGACTGGTACTTTGTCCTTGCCAAGACGGACCCGACGGCCTCGGCCGGCTCGGCCTTCACGGGCTTCGTCGTGGATGCCAACACGCCCGGTATCACGCGCGGCCGCAAGGAGATCAACCTCGGCCAGCGCTGCTCGGACACGCGTGGCATCACGTTCGAAGACGTCGTTGTCCCGGAAGAGAACGTCCTTGGCACGCCCGGCTACGGCTTCAAGATCGCCATGCAGGCGTTCGACCACACCCGCCCGCCGGTCGCCATTGGCGCTGTCGGTCTTGCCCGCCGTGCGATGGAAGAGGCCAAGAAGTACGCGCTCGAACGCAAGACGATGGGCCAGCCGATCGCGATGCACCAGAGCATCATGTTCATGCTCGCCGACATGGCGACCAACATTGAAGCTGCGCGTCTGCTCACGTACAAGGCGGCGTACGAGATCGACTGCGGCCGGAAGAACACCATGTATGCGTCGATGGCCAAGCGCTTCGCCGGCGACATGGCCAACCAGGTTGCGGCCGACGCGGTCCAGATCTTTGGTGGCGCCGGCTTCAACACCGAGTACCCGGTCGAGAAGCTCATGCGTGATGCCAAGATCTACCAGATCTACGAAGGCACGTCGCAGATCCAGCGCATGATCATTGGCAAGGAGATGCTCACGCGCGCCACGATGGAGCCGTAAAGAAATATAAAGTAGTCTGTACCTGTGACGAGACTAGCATCTTGGAATGTAGCTGCATGACGCGGTGGTGTCGACGTTGGTGGCGACACGGTGGCGCGCCACTAGTAGCAGCTGCAAATATTCGCGACGCCGGCGTCGTCCAAGCTGGCCATCGACACGTACGAGACATACGATAGAGCTCAACAAAATCACTAAAGAACTGAGCGCCGACGACTCCTGATACCGCCAAGAGCAACCCGTACGAGGTTCCTGGGAAGGAAGCAGTAGGCATGCGCAGTATAGCACTTTTGTTGCACATAAAAGCTTGGTAGTATCTCATGGTTCCTTGGTGCCTCCGCGTGTGCGGTCCGTGGAGCCATATCGCTCCAGTCTCTCGCCAAGAGCTCCCTCCCAGTGCTCTCACCGTGCCACACATGTTCTTGTTCGTCGCCGATCGACAAGATCGTGAACAGGACCATTTTTACTCAGTTGTCGCATCACGTCGACCACAGATTTGCCATGGATGCTGGCCCAACCTCTTAAACGAATAGCAGCTCGCGTCGAGCGCTTGTAGCAACGTCGAGCGTTTGAGGGACGATGCGATAGACCTCAAGCTTTTGACTTGGAAGTTGAGGCAACCTCGCAATTGAAATGAATAGCAGCTTCTGTCGAGCGCTTGTTGCAACAGAGAAAGGAGGTTAAAGCGACTATGCATAGCACTCACATAGCTCGATTCTCTCATTAACGAAGATGACGCGACGTTTGACTAATGGCTCTAGTAGTGGAGCACTTGATAGGAATAGATCCTCTTGACCTCCAATCTGGTGCACATGGAGCGGTGGTGGACCGTGCCCCAGCACTCTACGTACTAGTGGATGGGCCCTATACACAGTAAATGTGTACAACTTGTCGGTTTCCTGGCGTTTCCGCGGGCCAACCGGCGACGCGGAATGCACGCGTGGCACGATCGCTCGGCACGTGACACGGCGAGCTTCAAGCACATGGCAGACCGGTCGACCAACTTCAACTCCCAAAGAAAAGCATTCGTGCAAGTGTCTTGGCATCTTGGCCATCGACGATAAACAAGCAGGATATCGACGCGTGGGCTAAGCTCTTAGAGCTATGGTATCGTTCCGGTGCAGCACAGCGGCGGGTCGTGCCACCATTTGATGCAATGCGTTCGCCGAAGACTTGCTTTGGTCTGGTCATAGACGTTGGCGTCCGCCGCTGACGACGCTTGAGCGAGTGTGGCCCTTCGCACCCATCTTGGCACCTGTTACACGTCGTCTGGTATGAGGAGTTGTCCACGCAACGACTAGCGACCAACTAATTGCGCATGGCAGCGCGTACGTGACGAGCGTCACCACGCAACGTAGTCGACTATCAAGTCGATACTTAGTCCGCCACGGACCAACGCTCGCAATCGCGCGGTCAAGTCGCTGACGGCCCCCGACGTCTCCTCCGGTCCACATCCGGACAGCCGCCTGATCTCGCGGTGCCTACGCGCGCGCTGATTGGTCGAATCGTGACACGCACAGCGCTGGCACGTGCTCCACGTGCCCCGTCAACGGGCTCGCCCGCTCGGTCCATTCTCGCATTTGCACCAAAATGCTCTCGACGCCGACGCGCTTCCTTCGCCCGCTCGGCGCCCGCGCCAAGTCGGTTGCGGCCGCCATGGTCGACCGCGCCGACAACGTCCACTTCTCCATGAGTTCCGAGCCCGTGGGTTTTGCGGCCAACGCTGGCATCGACGAGTCGACATCGAACGGCCTCAGCTTCAAGCTCACCGACACACAGCGCGAGTTCCAGCTCCTCGCGCGCAAGTTTGCCCATGACGAGATGATGCCGGTCGAAAAGTACCACGACCAGACAATGGAGTATCCGCACGCGATCTTTGACAAGGTCTGGGAGCTCGGGCTTTGCTACGGTATCATTCCGCAAAAGTACGGCGGCCTCGGCTTGTCGACGCTCGATGGCGTCCTCATTAGCGAGGAGCTCGCGTACGGCTGCACGGGCATGATGACGGCCATCGAGATCAACCACCTCGCGCTTTCGACCGTGCTCATCGCGGGCACGGACGAGCAGTGCGCCAAGTACTGCGGTCGGCTACTGGAGGCGCCACGCCGGGCCGCGTATTGCGTCACCGAAGCTGGCGCAGGCTCGGACGTCGCGGCGGCCAAAATGACGGCGGTCAAGAAGGGCAACAGCTGGGTCCTCAACGGCGCCAAGTCATGGATCACCAACGGCGGTGGCGCCGACTGGATGTTTGTCATGGCCAAGACGGACCCGGGCGCGAGCGCCGGGTCGGCCTTTACGGGCTTCATCGTCGACGCCAACACACCGGGCATCACCGTCGGGCGGAAGGAGGTGAATATGGGCCAGCGCTGCTCCGACACGCGCGGCTTGACGTTCGAGGACGTGGTCGTGCCGGAAGAAAACATCTTGGGCTCTGTCGGCTACGGCTTCAAGATCGCCATGCAGGCGTTCGACCGGACGCGCCCGGGTGTCTCGAGCGGTGCGGTGGGCGTCGCGCGACGGGCGATGGACGAAGCCAAGAAGTACGCGCTCGAGCGCAAGACGATGGGCCAACCGATTGCGCACCACCAGAGCATCACCAACATGCTCGCCGATATGGCGACCAACATTGAAGCTGCGCGTCTGCTTACGTACAAGGCGGCGTACGAGATCGACTGCGGACGGAAGAACACCATGTATGCGTCGATGGCGAAGCGCTTTGCGGCGGACATGGCGGCGCAAGTTACCTCGGACGCCGTTCAGATCTTTGGTGGCGCGGGCTTCAACACCGAGTACCCAGTCGAGAAGCTCATGCGCGATGCCAAGATCTACCAGATCTACGGTGGGCCGTCCCAGATTCAGCGCATCGTCATTGGCAAGGAGATGCTCAAGCGCGAGAACCTCGACCCGTGATTTAAAGTCTTGTAGTTTTGTTTGTTGCGTTGCGTTTGGGGTTAGCTGGCCAACGACAAGTTGTGCACACATTCCAGCTGTATAGTGTTAGCCATGTTTGCATAGTCTTTGCTTCTAGTACATTAGTCTAGTATAGTAGTACGCGACTCGAAGCTACGTGGCTTGCCACGGCCACGACGATTTGATTGTGAATCTGAATCCAAAGATACGCATTGGTTTTCGCAGGCACATTTCTCAAAAGCCTTTGAAAATGAATACTATTGGGTTGCACATCGAGAAGAAGAGGTGGATGCAATTCACTCGAATTCCTTGCACACGCCGAGCATGAGCCGCTTGACGAGGCTCCTCCAGCGACCGCGGCCGCTTCGCGCCGCCTTCTCCACGTCGGCAGCCGATGCTGCGCGCTTCGCCTTTGATGCGCCTCCCATGTCGCTGCACCCGTCGCAGAAGCCCCGCGTGATCTTTGGGCGCAAGGCCGCCGAGCAGCTCACCGTGCTCGCACCCAAGGTCATGTCTAAGGTGCTCCTCGTGCGCGACCGCGACGCTGGCTCGGAGAAGCGCGCCCAGTACGCTCAGTTTCTTCTCCAGAAGGCCAACATCCCTGTTTTCATGTTCACGTTGCAGCGCGACTGCGCCACGATCGACTCGATCAACCAAGGGCGCGACCACGCCCGCCGCGTCGGCGCCAACGGCGTCGTGGCGTTTGGCGGTGGCAATGTCATGGACACGTCGCGTGCGATTGCCGCGCTCATGGCGAACGAAGGCAACGCCGAAGACCTCGCGCAAGGCCCTCTGCCTCTGCCCCATCGCGCGGCGCCGCTCATCATCATGCCGACGGTCGCCGGCTGCGGCAGCGAAGTCTCCAACGAAGCGTTGGTGCTGGACGAAGGCGCTGAAGCCAAGCTCACGTTCACAAAGTCGCCGATCGTCGCCGAGGTACGCACCATCCTCCAGGACGACAGTGAAGGTCAAGCGATATGACGTAGGCCGTGATCATTGACCCGATTCTGACCGTGTCGGTGCCCATGGGCTTGACCGCGCAGGGCGCGCTCACGGCGCTCGGGCAGTGCATCGAGTCGTTCTTGATGAACGTCGACGACGCCAAGGTCGACGAGATCTGCTTGAATGGTATCCGGACGGCCGCCGAGGCGCTCGCGCCGCCGCTCAAGGGTACGACTACGCCATCTCTACCTCGCACAATCGGTACATGGCTGCGGTACTAATGTCCACCAACTGTAGATGGCAAGCTGCACCTCAACGACCTGGCATTCCGCGAGCGCCTGAGCTTGGCGAGCTTTTACAGCAGCCTCGCGAGCAGCGCGACGGGCTTTGGCGCGGCGCACTCGGTCGGCATCGGCGTCGGCGGTCTCTCGGACACACCACACCTCCAGGTCTGCGCCGCGTTCCTTCCTCTCGTCTTCCAGCGCTACGAGTCGATTCTCGAAGAGAACGCGGGCGACCACCACTTTGACGCTCTGGTACGGCCCATTTCTTCTACCCTCAGAACTGATTGCAGAGTATCCGGATAGAAAGCGCGCCTCGAAGCTGTCCACAACGTGCTCAGCATCGTCACGGGCTACGAGACGGCGACGCTCTCGCTCTGGTTTGCGCAAGTGGGCTTGCTCTTCAACATCCCGGACGCCCACCAGCTCGGCTTTGACGACACGCTCCTCACGAGCATCGTGGACCGCGCGACGGACCGCCTCGAAGACTGCGCGCTGCGGTCGTCGAGCCTCTTTGAGAAGGAGGACATTGACAGCATTCTCCAAGGCGCGCTTGCGCTGCCGACGAATGCCAAAGAGCTCTAGAAGTTGCTCTCCTAATGGATCTGTCTATTCAGAGTTGATACATTGAAATTGGTTTTATGCACTAGGTAAACATCAACATTTGTTAAATACTTGACGACCCACCACAGGCCACAACTCGTTTGCTGCTGTCTGTGCGCCTTGTGTTGATGATGGTATCGTATCAAGCTTATTGGGCCGTCGTGTACACTTGGTCCTTGTTGTAGTACGCACACATGGCAATGGACGCGCCCGTGAACTGGAACGGCGGCATGGACGTCGACGGCGGGTTGAGCGCCGCGACTTGCGCCTCGAGCGAGTTGAGCGACTTGCCGAGCGGGTAGCAGTCGAGCGACGAGCTGTAGCACTCCTTGACCTGGTTGACAAAGTCGGTGTACTTGCAGAACCACTGGCCCGGGCCGGCCTTGCCGTACTTTTGGACGAACTCGTTGCGGAGATGCGCCTCGATGAAGCACGAGGTGACGACGCGGAAGACACTGCGCTGGCTCCAGTACGTGCAGAGCTGCGCCTGGTACAAGCTCTTGTCGTCGTAGTCTTGCGTCACCGTGTAGTACGCCTTGCAGTTGTTCGACGCCCACTTGGTCGCACTCGCATAGAGCGAGCTGCACACGTACGCCATGTACTTGGCCGAGTTGGGCTTCCACGTCGACGCACACGCCGGTGCGGGCGCGGGGCCGTACTTCGTCTCCGTCGGGGGAATGAACGGCGGCGGCGGCGTGAGCGGCGGGACGTACGTCGTCGGGTACGGCGTCGGCTTGGGGGTCGGCTTGGGCGTCGGCTCCGACGTGGGCTCCGGGGCAGGCGTCTTCTTGTAGTAGCCGTCGCCGT